TAAATAAATTTAAATATATTTTGTGTGCATGGCGCTCTGACTCTAGTTATCAACATGGTTGAGGGCAGTGTTTCTTCCAGACTTTTTTCTCCGGGGGGGCACTTGAAATCTTCGGGGGGGCGGTAAACTTTCTTCGGGGGGGCGGACACTGTTAAAAGTATATATTTTCTATATAAATTATATAAATTTCATTTCGTTCGGGGGGGCGGTAAAAATTTTTCGTCCAGGTTGGTTGTGGTCCAGGTTGGTTGTGGTCCAGGTTGGTTGGTTGTGGTCCAGGTTTGTTGTGGTCCAGGTTGGTTGGTTGTGGTCCAGGTTGGTTGTGGTCCAGGTTGGTTGTGGTTCAGGTTGGTTGTGGTCCAGGTTGGTTGTGGTCCAGGTTGGTTGTGGTCTAGGTTGTTGTGGTCCAGGTTGGTTGTGGTCCAGATTGGTCGGTTGTGGTCCAGGTTGGTTGTGGTCCAGGTTGGTTGTGGTCCAGGTTGGTTGTGGTCCAGGTTGGTTGTGGTCTAGATTGTTGTGGTCCAGGTTGGTTGTGGTCCAGATTGGTTGTGGTTCTGGTTGGTTGTGGTCCAGGTTGGTTGTGGTCCAGGTTGGTTGGTTGTGGTCCAGGTTGGTTGGTTGTGGTCCAGGTTGGTTGTTGTCCAGGTTGGTTGGTTGTGGTCCAGGTTGGTTGTGGTCCAGATTGGTTGGTTGTGGTCCAGGTTGGTTGTGGTCCAGGTTGGTTGTGGTCCAGGTCGGTTGTGGTCCAGGTTGGTTGTGGTCCAGTTTGGTTGTGGTTCAGGGTGATTTGTTGTGGTCCAGGTTGGTTGTTGTCCAGGTTGGTTGATTGTGGTCCAGGTTGGTTGTGGTCCAGATTGGTTGTTGTCCAGGTTGGTTGTGGTCCAGGTTGGTTGTGGTCCAGGTTGGTTGTGGTCCAGGTTGGTTGGTTGTGGTCCAGGTTTGTTGTGGTCCAGGTTGGTTGGTTGTGGTCCAGGTTGGTTGTGGTCCAGGTTGGTTGTGGTCCAGGTTGGTTGTGGTTCAGGTTGGTTGTGGTCCAGGTTGGTTGTGGTCCAGGTTGGTTGTGGTCTAGGTTGTTGTGGTCCAGGTTGGTTGTGGTCCAGATTGGTCGGTTGTGGTCCAGGTTGGTTGTGGTCCAGGTTGGTTGTGGTCCAGGTTGGTTGTGGTCCAGGTTGGTTGTGGTCTAGATTGTTGTGGTCCAGGTTGGTTGTGGTCCAGATTGGTTGTGGTTCTGGTTGGTTGTGGTCCAGGTTGGTTGTGGTCCAGGTTGGTTGGTTGTGGTCCAGGTTGGTTGGTTGTGGTCCAGGTTGGTTGTGGTCCAGGTTGGTTGTGGTCCAGGTTGTTGTGGTCCAGGTTGGTTGTGGTACAGATTGATTGTGGTTCTGGTTGGTTGTGGTCCAGGTTGGTTGTGGTCCAGGTTGGTTGGTTGTTGTCCAGGTTGGTTGGTTGTGGTCCAGGTTGGTTGTGGTCCAGATTGGTTGGTTGTGGTCCAGGTTGGTTGTGGTCCAGGTTGGTTGTGGTCCAGGTCGGTTGTGGTCCAGGTTGGTTGTGGTCCAGTTTGGTTGTGGTTCAGGGTGATTTGTTGTGGTCCAGGTTGGTTGTTGTCCAGGTTGGTTGGTTGTGGTCCAGGTTGGTTGTGGTCCAGATTGGTTGTTGTCCAGGTTGGTTGTGGTCCAGGTTGGTTGTGGTCCAGGTTGGTTGTGGTCCAGGTTGGTTGGTTGTGGTCCAGGTTTGTTGTGGTCCAGTTTGGTTGGTTGTGGTCCAGGTTGGTTGGTTGTGGTCCAGGTTGGTTGTGGTCCAGGTTGGTTGTGGTCCAGGTTGGTTGTGGTCCAGATTGGTTGTGGTCCAGGTTGGTTGTGGTTCAGGTTGGTTGTGGTCCAGGTTGGTTGTGGTCCAGGTTGGTTGTGGTCTAGGTTGTTGTGGTCCAGGTTGGTTGTGGTCCAGATTGGTTGGTTGTGGTCCAGGTTGGTTGTGGTCCAGGTTGGTTGGTTGTGGTCCAGGTTGGTTGTGGTCCAGATTGGTCGGTTGTGGTCCAGGTTGGTTGTGGTCCAGGTTGGTTGTGGTCCAGGTTGGTTGGTTGTGGTCCAGGTTTGTTGTGGTCCAGTTTGGTTGGTTGTGGTCCAGGTTGGTTGGTTGTGGTCCAGGTTGGTTGTGGTCCAGGTTGGTTGTGGTCCAGGTTGGTTGTGGTCCAGATTGGTTGTGGTCCAGGTTGGTTGTGGTTCAGGTTGGTTGTGGTCCAGGTTGGTTGTGGTCCAGGTTGGTTGTGGTCTAGGTTGTTGTGGTCCAGGTTGGTTGTGGTCCAGATTGGTTGGTTGTGGTCCAGGTTGGTTGTGGTCCAGGTTGGTTGGTTGTGGTCCAGGTTGGTTGTGGTCCAGATTGGTCGGTTGTGGTCCAGGTTGGTTGTGGTCCAGGTTGGTTGTGGTCCAGGTTGGTTGTGGTCCAGGTTGGTTGTTGTCCAGGTTGGTTGTGGTCCAGGTTGGTTGTGGTCCAGGTTGGTTGTGGTCCAGGTTGGTTGTGGTCCAGATTGGTTGTGGTCCAGGTTGGTTGTGGTCCAGGTTGGTTGTGGTTCAGGTTGGTTGTGGTCCAGGTTGGTTGTGGTCCAGGTTGGTTGTGGTCCAGGTTGGTTGTGGTCTAGGTTGTTGTGGTCCAGGTTGGTTGTGGTACAGATTGATTGTGGTTCTGGTTGGTTGTGGTCCAGGTTGATTGGTTGTGGTCCAGGTTGGTTGGTTGTGGTCCAGGTTGGTTGTGGTCCAGGTTGGTTGTGGTCCAGGTTGGTTGGTTGTGGTCCAGGTTGGTTGTGGTCCAGGTTGGTTGTGGTTCAGGTTGGTTGTGGTCCAGGTTGGTTGTGGTCCAGGTTGGTTGTGGTCCAGGTTGGTTGTGGTCTAGGTTGTTGTGGTCCAGGTTGGTTGTGGTACAGATTGATTGTGGTTCTGGTTGGTTGTGGTCCAGGTTGGTTGTGGTCCAGGTTGGTTGGTTGTGGTCCAGGTTGGTTGGTTGTGGTCCAGGTTGGTTGGTTGTGGTCCAGGTTGGTTGTGGTCCAGATTGGTTGTGGTCCAGGTTGGTTGTGGTCCAGGTTGGTTGTGGTCCAGGTTGGTTGTGGTCCAGGTTGGTTGTGGTCCAGGTTGGTTGTGGTCCAGGTTGGTTGTGTCCAGGTTGGTTGTGGCCCAGGTTGGTTGTGGTCCAGGTTGGTTGTGGTCCAGGTTGGTTGTGGTCCAGGTTGGTTGTGGTCCAGGTTGGTTGTGGTCCAGATTGGTTGTGGTCCAGGTTGGTTGTGGTCCAGGTTGGTTGTGGTCCAGGTTGGTTGTGGTTCAGGTTGGTTGTGGTCCAGATTGGTTGTGGTCCAGGTTGGTTGTGGTCTAGGTTGTTGTGGTCCAGGTTGTTTGTGGTCCAGATTGGTTGGTTGTGGTCCAGGTTGGTTGTGGTCCAGGTTGGTTGGTTGTGGTCCAGGTTGGTTGTGGTCCAGGTTGGTTGTGGTCCAGGTTGGTTGGTTGTGGTCCAGGTTGGTTGTGGTCCAGGTTGGTTGGTTGTGGTCCAGGTTGGTTGGTTGTGGTCCAGGTTGGTTGTGGTCCAGGTTGGTTGTGGTCCAGGTTGGTTGTGGTCCAGATTGGTTGTGGTTCAGGTTGGTTGTGGTCCAGGTTGGTTGTGGTCCAGGTTGGTTGTGGTCTAGGTTGTTGTGGTCCAGGTTGGTTGTGGTCCAGGTTGGTTGGTTGTGGTCCAGGTTGGTTGTGGTTCAGGTTGGTTGTGGTCCAGGTTGGTTGTGGTACAGGTTGGTTGTGGTCCAGGTTGGTTGTGGTCCACGGTTGTTGGTTGTGGTCCAGGTTGGTTGTGGTCCAGGTTGGTTGTGGTTCAGGTTGGTTGTGGTCCAGGTTGGTTGTGGTCCAGGTTGGTTGGTTGTGGTCCAGGTTGGTTGGTTGTGGTCCAGGTTGGTTGGTTGTGGTCCAGGTTGGTTGTGGTCCAGGTTGGTTGTGGTTCAGGTTGGTTGTGGTCCAGGTTGGTTGGTTGTGGTCCAGATTGGTTGTGGTCCAGGTTGGTTGTGGTCCAGGTTGGTTGGTTGTGGTCCAGGTTGGTTGTGGTTCAGGTTGGTTGTGGTCCAGGTTGGTTGTGGTCCAGGTTGGTTGTGGTCCAGGTTGGTTGTGGTCCAGATTGGTTGTGGTCCAGGTTGGTTGTGGTCCAGGTTGGTTGTGGTCCAGGTTGGTTGTGGTTCAGGTTGGTTGTGGTCCAGATTGGTTGTGGTCCAGGTTGGTTGTGGTCTAGGTTGTTGTGGTCCAGGTTGGTTGTGGTCCAGATTGGTTGGTTGTGGTCCAGGTTGGTTGTGGTCCAGGTTGGTTGGTTGTGGTCCCGAAGAGATGCCTGGAAGAAACTCTGGTTGAGGGACACCTTATCAACATGCTTGAAAGACCTACTATTATCAACATGACTATAACAGTGTTTCTTCCAGACTTTTTTCTCCGGGGGGTGGAGGGGGCGCTTGATATATTTTTTTCGGGGGGGGGGGCGGACTAAATTTTCAGCGGGGTGGGGGGGGGGGCGGACACTGGTAAAAGTATATATTTTATATATAAATTCCATTTCGTTCGGGGGAGGGGGATTTGCCTCCCCCCCCCCCCCCCCCCTCCCAAAGAGATGCTTGGAAGAAACTTTGAAAATGGTCATTTAAAAAAAAAGACCATGTCACGCCAACGTTGATCTGAGAAAATCACGTGAATGAAATGTGATTCTCGGGTTTGTTTATGTTTTGGTCTGCTAATATTTTTATACAATTCTTTAATATGGCATCTAAACCAAGCTCCATATATTCAGAGAATATAAGAACTGTAGAACTGTTCTATTTATTTCCTGTAGAGACAGAATGCAGAAGGCCTACAACGCGACCGGTACTGTAGCAAATAAAAATAGTCTTTATCGCTGTTCTTCTCTACTAGTGCACTGGCGTCCATTGTGCGAGAAAGGGCGGGCTGACGTCGCGCGCAAATTTGTGTCACATTCCTCGTCTTCCCCGCTCAGTGGCCGCTCGCTTGGCCGAGCTTGAGGTCGAGTGTCGCAAACTTTCTACAACTTTTGGATTGTTGCTGTTTATTTTCTTGTGAGACTGTGTGTCGTCACCAGTCCATTCATGCCACTTGTATCCAGTGTCGTCATCCTTTGATGTGTTGTTGTGTTAGATGGTCGCCAACACAGTTTTGACTGTCTAGCCCAGCGATCCGTCGTCTTTATTCTTGGCGTGGACCATTCTTTGTTCGCTACACACTGTGAGGCGAGCGAGTGAACACCGTGTGTGACTATACCAGTGTTGTGGTGTGCTCGCGTGTTATGACGCGGTGTTGTTGACATTTTTCCCGAGGATGTAATGCGGCCGGTGAGTTGACCATGTCCATCCCCCACCGTGCCCAGCGCCAACACTGCTACCTGTGTGACCTGCCCCGCACACCATGGGCCATGTTACACGACTTCTCCGAGTCGGTGTGTCGTGGCTGTGTCAACTATGAGGGCCCGGATCGTATCGAGATGATCATAGAGGCGGCCCGACACATGAAGAGGGTCCACGGCTTTCAGGACCCGGCCCGCGGGCCAGTGCTCAACGGGGTCAGTAAGGCCCACGGTGGCCCGCCACGGACTGGACCTCCGACCACTGGCCCCCAAGACGTCCACCCTCACTCCTCCATTCCTCTAGACGCCTCCAGACTGTCCGGCCCTCAGCACCACCTGCCCGGGCCCAGCCACCCCCCGCCTCACGCCCACCACCCCGACCGGTTCCTAGAGAGGAGGAGCATGCTGGAGATGACGTCACTGGCCAGACTGCCCAACGCTTTCATCCACCCTCGCCCGGGGGACGAGCACTTCACGGAGCTACACCACAGGGGGAGCCCGCCCCGGGCTGGCCTGCCGCTGCTGCACCCCATGAATCACACCCGCCACAGCGCCCCTCCCCAACCCCCCCTCCTGCAGATGAGGCGAGAGGAGGAGGAGGAGGGCCCTGCTGCTCACGAGGACAAGTACAGCTCGCTGGAGGAGGCTGTCCAGAAGAAACCGTTGGTCCGTGACACGCTCAACACACTGGCCGCCTGCGTGCCCTTCCAGATCCGGCTCAGACAGGACCACATGCTCATTGGTCGAATGTTCGCCTTTGACGTCAGTTTCCGCTGCCCGAATGACCTTGAACTCAAGTATTTTGTGGAGTATCCCATTGGTTCAGGCACTGTCCACAACTCCATCGCCAGCCTGGTCAAGCTCATGTGTCACGACACGGTCAAGGACCTGGGCAAAGGTCAGTCGTCGGGGCTGGTCTATCTGGAGTACGAGCTGAAGCACGGCTGTGGTCAGTGGAGCAACCTGACCGAGCTCTTGACGGAGCCTGTCCGACACTTCAAGGACAGCCTCAAGCGGGACCTGCTCCCCACACCCTTCTTGGACAGCTGCCTGCCGCCCCTGCCCAGTCACCTTGGGCGGGTTGTGCCCATGGCCAAACCTGACCCCCACCGGCTGTTTCTGGAGGGGGGCAGGAAGCGGAAGAGCTCCCCGGGGGGCGAGGAAGATGAGCCGCACAAGCGCCAGCAGTGGCTCCAGAGTGAGGCTCTCAAGTTGACCATCTCATCAGCGGCCTACGGGCCTGGGCTGCCCAGCTCCACCTCCATCTCACCACTCAGCAACCACAACCACACCCCCAGCCCGCCCACGGGGGGCGCCAACCCCGGCCCCTCCCCCATGGCTTCACTCCTGACAGACACCCTGGTGTCCCCCACGGGCCCGGCAGATCTGCTCCACGCCAGCCACTTGCTGCGGGCCCCCCACCACTCCCCCAGTGGCTCTAGGCGGGGCCCCCACCCCGTCTCTGACGCGGGGGTGGGCAGCACGATGCCAGAGTCGACCAGCGGTCTGGCACCGGACCTGCTCAAGTGCACGCTGTGCCAGGAGCGGCTGGAGGACACGCACTTTGTCCAGTGTCCCTCGGTGGCCGAGCACAAGTTCTGCTTCCCCTGCTCCAAGGACAGCATCAAGCGGCAGGGGGCGGGCAGCGAGGTCTACTGCCCCAGCGGCAACAAGTGCCCGCTGTCCGGCTCTAATGTGCCCTGGGCATTCATGCAGGGGGAGATCATCACCATCCTGGGGGAGGACTACAGCGGCCCCACCGGCGGCACGGGGGGCGTCCACTGCATCAACAACCCCAAGGACGTCAACATCAAGAAGGAGAGGGACTCGTAGGACACCCGGCTGATCCGTGTCTAGCTGACCCGTGTCCAGCTGACCCGTGTCTAGCTGACCCGTGTCCAGCTGACCCGTGTCCAGCTGATCCGTGTCTAGCTGACCCGTGTCTAGCTGACCCGTGTCTAGCTGACCCGTGTCTAGCTGACCCGTGTCCAGCTGACCCGTGTCCAGCTGACCCGTGTCCAGCTGACCCGTGTCTAGCTGACCCGTGTAGCCTAAGAGAACTGAGAGATGACCCCATCCCGCCTGCCGCCTGCTCCCACAGCAGACGTCAAGTGTAATCTGATTCATTGATAACAGAACTGGGTCAGCACACACCGTCAGGACTTACACGCCCAGGGCTATGTTGTGTACCTGACCTCACCAAGTTCTAATGTGTGGCAAGTTCTCATCTATGACAAGTTCTAATGTGTGGCAAGTTCTGATCTATGACAAGTTCTGATCTATGGCAAGTTCTGATCTATGACAAGTTCTGATGTGTGGCAAGTTCTGATCTATGACAAGTTCTGATCCATAACAAACACTCAGGATTAACCAAACTCAACCTGTTTTAAACGTGTCTGTCTTGTTTGTCTTTCTTGTGTCTTCTGTCTGTCATGTCTCGTTTGTGTCTTGTCATGTCTCGTTTGTGTCTTGTCATTGATTGATCAAAGCATGTATTTGAACTCTCTTGGGTGGGGGTTAAGATAAGCCTAGGGGTCAAAGTTGAGCTGTTTGTCAGACTGGAATGTTGGTCAGGTATTCTAGTGTCCCGGGGCTTTATGATGGGGTGGGGTGGGTAACGGGATTGTAGGAAAAAAAGTCACAGGAAAAAAAACACAGAAAAAAAGTCACAGGAAAAAAAGTAACAGGAAAAAAGTCACAAATATATATTTGCATGATATTTGTTATTACTTTTATGTATTAAATATTTAGAGAGTGCAAATTAACTTAGGATTAATTAAATGTAATGTTATGTGTGTAGGCTGTATACACATAGGAATTTTTATAATTCATCTAAAAATATTTAGTATAAAGTATGTAGATTGTAATTATGTTAAAATTAAGATCAGTAGCATTTAATAGAATGTTCCAAAGTCCACCGTTTTCATCGTGTTTTTTTTAAAATACCAACATTAAATTACCGTGAAATGGTAGTTCATCTGACTTGCTGCCCTCAACTCATGGCAACAATAGTTATGTTTAGTTCAACCACCTTTACTGCCCAAATTTAACACGCTCATTACATAACAAAACTTAGGATCAAAACAGAACGCCGACAAGGTTCAAGGGCTGTCAACAACACAAAATATGTTCGGACAATGCCTACTGAGGAGAGGCCGACCAGAGAATAGCCTACGGCAAAATTTGCCTAATTTTTTTTAATAATTAACTTTTCTACCGTGTATTTAACTAAATACGTAACAAAAGTTGAGATTGTTGTGTAAATTATCTTAGAGTATTTTTACTTACAATTGTTATAAACCATAATGCTTTTAACGTTTATAAATAATTTATGCGATAAAAAATACAACCCACAACAATAAACATACACAATTTTACAATTTTAACAAATAAATCAAAATATTTCTAAATATTTTCTAAAAAGATTTTTGTGACTTTTTTTCTGTGACTTTATTTCTGTGACTTTTTTTTCCGATAAAATTTGTCCATTGTGACATTTTTCTGTGACTTTTTTTTTTTAGCAATAACTGTGACTTTTTTTCTGTGTTTTTTTTTTCCTGTGACTTTTTTCCGTTCACCGGGTAACGGGGGGGGGGGGGGTATTTGTGGTTTTATGGTATTATGGTGGTATTGCCATGGTATTATGGTGGTATTGTCATGGTATTATGGTGGTATTGTCATGGTATTATGGTGGTATTGTCATGGTATTATGGTGGTATTGCCATGGTATTATGGTGGTATTGTCATGGTATTATGGTGGTATTGTCATGGTATTATGGTGGTATTGTCATGGTATTATGGTGGTATTGTCATGGTATTATGATGGTATTGTCATGGTATTATGGTGGTATTGTCATGGTATTATGGTGGTATTGTCATGGTATTATGGTGGTATTGTCATGGTATTATGGTGGTATTGTCATGGTATTATGGTGGTGTGGTGGTATTGTCATGGTATTATGGTGGTATTATGATGTAGATATTTAAATTCTGCTGTTGATCTCATAGCTGTTTATGATAAAAGGAATAAAAAAATGCAAACATTTCTTTCAGTGCTGTGTTGGTCAATGCAGTGATCTAGTAAGCTAGGTGTGTGGGTCCATCGTGTGGGTGTGTGTGTGGGTCCTTCGTGTGGGTGTGTGGGGGGTCCTTCGTGTGGGGGTGTGTGGGGGTCCTTCGTGTGGGTGTGTGTGTTGGTCCTTCGTGTGGGTGTGTGGGTCCATCGTGTGGGTGTGTGGGTCCATCGTGTGGGTGTGTGTGTGTGGGTCCTTCGTGTGGGTGTGTGTGTGTGGGTCCTTCGTGTGGGTGTGTGTGTGTGGGTCCTTCGTGTGGGTGTGTGTGTGTGGGTCCTTCGTGTGGGTGTGTGGGTCCATCGTGTGGGTGTGTGGGGGTCCTTCGTGTGGGTGTGTGTGGGGGTCCTTCGTGTGGGTCCATCGTGTGGATGGGTGTGTAGGGGGTGGGGTGGCCTTCGTGTGGGTGTGGGTCCTTCGTGTGGGTGTGTGTGGGGGGCCTTCATGTGGGTGTGTGGGTCCCTCACGTGTTCAGTGACCCATTTAGTTGAATACACAGCACATCGTGATACTAACATTGGAGGGGGGGGGGGGGGGTGGTGACACCCTTAACTACCGCAATTGTTGTGTGGAGATTTGTGTACGGCCCTATGTCGTTCTGGTCCACAAATTGAGAGGTCCCGGCCTAGACCACATTGAGAGGTCCCGGCCTAGACCACATTGAGAGGTCCCGGCCTAGACCACATTGAGAGGTCACTGCCTAGACCACATTGAGAGGTCCCGGCCTAGACCACATTGAGAGGTCCCGGCCTAGACCACATTGAGAGGTCCCGGCCTAGACCACATTGAGAGGTCCCGGCCTAGACCACATTGAGAGGTCCCGGCCTAGACCACATTGAGAGGTCCCGGCCTAGACCACCGTAAATGTCATTCTGGCCCACAAATTGAGAGGTCCCTGCCCAGACCACCGTACATGTCATCTGGCCAACAAATTGAGAGGTCCCTGCCCAGACCACCGTACATGTCATCTGGCCTGCTGGTGCTACTGATGTGGTGTGTCCTATCGATGTCGTCCCCTTGGTTGTGGTCCTACATCTCATTAGACAACAGAAACTGATCGGGAATTCCCGGCCAGTCACGAACATGGCGCTGTAATCTCGCCCCGTTGTACCGATGTGCGCGCGCATACGGTGAAATGTTTCCATTGTAGAGCGTGACAGTTGTACACGCCACGCGCTGTTTTTATTTAGACCTGTTCAAAGGGACACGCCGTGCTGTGTGAGACCCAAGACATGTTAGCCTCGGCACCAAAATCTTTTCATTACCCGACACGACCTTGGGCTGATGATGTAATGGGTGAGAAGAAAATACTATGACCGCTTTTATCAACATGGCGCTTTTTAATGACTAGCTAACAAAACTCGACTTTTAAAATTCCCTTGTGCTGTTTTAAGGGATCTGTCCTCAGTTCCGTGTGTGTAGGGGGTGGGGTGGCCTCAGTTCCCTGTGTGTAGGGGGTGGGGTGGCCTCAGTTCCCTGTGTGTAGGGGGTGGGGTGGCCTCAGTTCCCTGTGTGTAGGGGGTGGGGTGGCCTGACGTCTGCCCTAAGCTAGCCGCTACCACAACCAGTTGTCTTGAATATCGCCTAATCTCCCCCCCCCTCCCCTAGCAGGGACGTGACGTAGAGCGAGACAGACGCACGCTATTCGGCCATCGCTTCGTGCTCAGCACAATCAAACACACACGCGCCGTTACGTGCATGCTGGCCAGCGGACACACACACAGACACACAGACGGCATTAGCGCTGCTCAAAATATACGCTAACTTAATGGGCCTGTTACAGAATTTTTTTTACCATCAGTTTGGTCGCTCGTACTGATAGTTGACCTTACCTATGGTAGATGACCTTACTTTACCACTGGTAGATGACCTTACCACTGGTAGATGACCTTACCACTGGTAGATGACCTTACCACTGGTAGATGACCTTACCACTGGTACATGACCTTACTTCTGGTACATGACCTTACTTTACCACTGGTAGATGACCTTACCACTGGTAGATGACCTTACTTCTGGTACATGACCTTACTTTACCACTGGTAGATGACCTTACCACTGGTAGATGACCTTACCACTGGTAGATGACCTTACCACTGGTACATGACCTTACTTTACCACTGGTAGATGACCTTACCACTGGTAGATGACCTTACCACTGGTAGATGACCTTACCACTGGTAGATGACCTTACCACTGGTACATGACCTTACTTTACCACTGGTAGATGACCTTACCACTGGTAGATGACCTTACCACTGGTAGTTGACCTTACCACTGGTACATGACCTTACTTTACCACTGGTAGATGACCTTACCACTGGTAGATGACCTTACCACTGGTAGTTGACCTTACCTATGGTAGATGACCTTACTTTACCACTGGTAGATGACCTTACCACTGGTAGATGACCTTACCACTGGTAGTTGACCTTACCTATGGTAGATGACCTTACTTTACCACTGGTAGATGACCTTACCACTGGTAGATGACCTTACCACTGGTAGATGACCTTACCACTGGTACATGACCTTACTTTACCACTGGTAGATGACCTTACCACTGGTAGATGACCTTACCACTGGTACATGACCTTACTTTACCACTTTTAGATGACCTTATAAAACAGCCTCCTGTAAAAGCCTCCAACCATTCCTCCCCCTCCCCCAGTCAAGTTGAAGACTGGCGACGGATCACGTACGGCCGTGACAAATCTCCAGCAACTAGCGCTCCCAGACGTGATCTATAAACCTTGGCCTGTAATCAATGGACGGGGGGGGGGGGGGGGGAAGGGGCGGACAACATTATTTTCCCAGGGGGGGGGGACACTGGTAAAAGTATATGTTTTCTATATAAGTTTTATTTTGTTCGGGGGGGGGGGGGGAGGGGACAGACGACACCCCCCGAAGAGATGCCTGGAAGAAACTCTGTGCCCATCAGAATATGGTGCCCTGAATAATCTGATGCCCTACGTAATTCTACACGATTCAAGAAAAAATGTCCCTACATAAATAGCTCCCCCCTCCTCCTTTATTCAAATAAGGGCTTTAGAACGTTGAATTTTTTCTTCTTCTAAAAATGTAGTCAAGAAGAGCAGTTAATAAATGGGCAGGCATGACTGTCGCAGGCGGCCGTCAAGGTTTGGTCCGGTGGAACTGATGACCAGGCAGATGAGGCCCGCGCGAGACGCTCTCTAAATATTGGCCCTGCACGCGGCACGTGACTAGACTTCCAGGCCGGTGATTGGCAGCCGATCATCAGCTGTTGACATGAATATTCCCCCCTTGATAATGACGTCCGCTAGAGGGCGCTCGATGCTTTTTGTGAAGGTCGTGCTAATCCAACTTTTTTTTACCCAGACCAAAAAATATCCAACAACGTGAGACCAAACATACACATAGAGACATCACATATTTCCTAGATCCATAGAGACATCACATATTTCCTAGATCCATAGAGACATCACATATTTCCTAGATCCATAGAGACATCACATATTTCCTAGGTCTATAGACACATCACATATTTCCTAGAGCCATAGAGACATCACATATTTCCTAGATCCATAGAGACATCACATATTTCCTAGATCCATAGAGACATCACATATTTCCTAGGTCTATAGACACATCACATATTTCCTAGAGCCATAGAGACATCACATATTTCCAAGATCCATAGAGACATCACATATTTCCTAGAGCCATAGAGACATCACATATTTCCTAGAGCCATAGAGACATCACATATTTCCTAGAGCCATAGAGACATCAAATATTTCCTAGAGCCATAGAGACATCACATATTTCCTAGAGCCAAAGAGACATCACATATTTCCTAGAGCCATAGAGACATCACATATTTCCTAGAGCCATAGAGACATCACATATTTCCTAGGTCTATAGAGACATCACATATTTCCTAGAGCCATAGAAACATCACATATTTTCAAGATCCATAGAGACATCACATATTTCCTAGGTCTATAGAGACATCACATATTTCCTAGATCCATAGAGACATCACATATTTCCTAGAGCCATAGAGACATCACATATTTCCTAGAGCCATAGAGACATCACATATTTCCTAGGTCTATAGAGACATCACATATTTCCTACAGCCATAGAGACATCACATATTTCCTAGGTCTATAGAGACATCACATATTTCCTAGAGCCATAGAGACATCACATATTTCCTAGATCCATAGAGACATCACGTATTTCCTAGGTCTATAGAGACATCACATATTTCCTAGGTCTATAGAGACATCACATATTTCCTAGGTCTATAGAGACATCACATATTTCCTAGGTCTATAGAGACATCACATATTTCCAAGAGCCATAGAGACATCACATATTTCCTAGGTCTATAGAGACATCACATATTTCCTAGAGCCATAGAGACATCACATATTTCCTACAGCCATTGAGACATCACATATTTCCTAGGTCTATAGACACATCACATATTTCC